AAGTTTAGATAATTTCTGTACATTGCCCTTTTTCTAAGCTCTCATTTGACATTCAATTGCGACAGCTCATCAGTAAAGAATTCAAAAAGCATTATTGCACATACCCAATCACTTAAGTGCCGCAGGTAATTTTCGCTGATAGTTACGTTTCCACCTTTTTTTTACATATTAAATGAATATGAAACTTTTATTTTCAATCAAAAAGTCAATTACTTCTTTCTTGTCTATTAAATTATTAATTTTTTATGACCAGCGAGCAAGAGATTGTAAGGTATAATTTGACAAAAAGTATACTTTTTGACTTTTATTTTGGATGGGTTGTTTGTGCTTCGAGCTATGCTACTTCGTCGGTAATTGACAACTTTTGTTTGAACAATTTTTGTTTTGCATATTTCATTCATTTCTATCACACTACGTTTCGCTATGTAAAAATTTCACCCTTTTGCTATGTGCGTGTGCATGTGCGAGGCTGGTAACAAAATATAAAGTGGTTTAATAACCTCGAGGCCTCCAAAAAAAACGGGTAAAATGTGAAAGGCAAAGCTAACACACTCATAACATAAATAAATATGTTTACGTTGGTATATGTAATATTCATTTTCGTTTTGCTATTAACATATTTTTACAAGATAGAAAAATAAAACTTTTTCGTAGGTTCCAATATTGAATTTTGTTGCATACACATTTTTTTTATGATTATTATTTTTTATTTTGGAACTTCTCGGACTTGTGCCGCTGATTTACATACTGTCTAATTTCCATAAGAAATATGATAATAAATGCAAAAGAAAAGTTTTTGTTTTTAAGGGAGTACATAGCATCGAAATGATGAATATGTCCCCAAGCTCATACTTCAGCCCGTTCATCAAGTCTGCACTAGACCTTTCTGTCATCGATTGATTTTTGCATTTCTAATGTAAATAACCTGAAGGTACACATAAATATGCAAATATAATATGTACTGGAAAATAAATACTTTCGCACTCTGCACTGTAAACACACTGTGTTTTGCACATACACGTATACATATATATTTATCACCCGAGCCGTTATAATTCGCCGAAACGTGTTGCCGTTGAATAGCCTCAATGTATGAAAAAGTGAAACAAAAACGAATACAAAGTCATTGCATGCTTTCAGGCGCATAATTTGACGTGTATAAAATAAGGGCATTTCTTTGTATGATTGAAAAAGTCGTGTACAGTTAACAAGAGTGTGACAAATTTTCAATTTAACTTTTTTTTTAACCCTCCACATAATTATGTATGTACGAGTATGTACATACATTTAATTGAAGGATCTACTAACTGCGAATAAAGGCTTTTTATACAAACACACTCATACAAAAAGCAATTTTGCCTACCACTAACATATGTGCCGAGGGCGTGAGGTTTACACATATATTGGTTTCTAAAGGTTTGTGAATGTGATAGAAATTATGTGATGGAAAATTTAGTAACACCGATTTACTCAGAAATGTAATTACTTAAGCTTTGAAAATATTCAAAAGTTTCTTATAATAAAAATTAAATATTTTTAAAATAAATATTCTAAAAACTAATATATATAAAAAATCGTTTTCGAATTGTAAGTATTAGGTATAATTATAAGTATCTAGGTAGAGTAGAGGTTTCAATTCACGATGCCTAATTTTTTTTTCTTACTTCGAGCTGTAGAGAATCATTTGCAATTTATTATATTTAATTTTTTTTTTTTTTTTGACTCTGTATATTTCTATTGACTGTTTAAAATACGAGACAATATCTTCATATTTTCTGTTTAAAGTTTTAAATTTTCGGCATAAGAGAAGACCTAAAAACTGGGATCGAATCGAGTATTCCGTGAACGTATAATTCGTCTCGTAAATTTAAGTATTTGGCATTACACCATACGTGAAGGTGTACTCGTTGCCGTAGTTCAGTATGATGCGTTCGGAAAGGCCATACGTTGACCAGAATTTCGTTCAAAACTATCATTCTATTGCAAAATTGTGTTCGTAAACAAGCCTGTAATAAAAATGAAATTAATTTGTTCTAAATCTAACGCAGCACAAAGGAGTTCATCGCTGAATTCAAGCGGTCACATCCAAATTTAGCAGAAAAACCTTTGAAGAGGGCTTGCAAATTTCCTTAATCACCTCCTTACAATTCTTTCACCGGAAGATAAACTAAGAAAGAAAACGCCTGCCAATATTGTTTTTGTAAGACAAACAACTTGCAAACAGCTGATTCAAAATTGTTAAAGAAGAATGTAAAAGATGAAGTTGAAATCTTTTACAGTTTCAAATAATTACGACCCGTTTGCTTTCATATGACATCTTCTCAATAATTTTAAACGATTTACGTATAATAGAATCTTCTTTCATTGGACAGCCAATACGTTCGCGAAATATTATTAATTATATATTAATATATTAACTTAATCAAATACTTGTTTCAGTCTCATTACGCATTTGACTTCATAGCTAACTTGCATTAAACGTGTTAGTCGCTATCTTTGTACCCTTTCCCCTTTTTAATATTTTACATAGCATTATTTGGCAATAAATAATTAGACTTATATATGTTTTTGGCAAAAAGTCGTCCATTATTTTAACAGTAGATGGCCTTAGTGATATATGCCTTGCTTTCTTCAAGTGCTCACTTTGCTCAGTAGTGAGTGTCAAAATTGAACACAAGCAAAAATTTAATACGCTATGTTCTACAATTTTTCTTCGAGAAATGCGGAAATGAACAAACAATAGACATAAAAATAGCAGATTTGACTTGGTTTCGGAGCTCTGTTTTAGTTACGCCCTCTTCTTTGGGTAAATTATATAATAAATATATAATTATATATTGTCTTTTTTTAACCGCTGAAGCGATTTTTTTTATGCAAATTAGGTTAGGTTGAACAATATTTCAGTCCAAAGTTGTACCAGATAAGCTTTACATGGTCAAAACTGATATCTTTTGGCTGTTCGCTTTACAAATTGGTCCTTGAAGATTGAAATTCCTGCAGCATTTTTCACAAAGTAAGATCGGCGCTGCAACTGCGATTCCAATAAAAAACGCTGCGATACCTCACAGGTGCTCAGGTACATGCGCAACGAAAACGAATATAGAGACCTTGAAATACCAATGGTAGACTTAGAAGTGAGAAACACCTGACAAAAATACCTTTTGAAACTTCAAAATCATCCGGATCCTCTAGTAAATGTTTTATCCTGCCCAGCAAGTCGAACTTGCCGGAGAATGGATCTGTCAATATTTTGAAGAGCAACGTTTTACCTGACGAAGTATTTATTAGTTATTAACATTCTAAAACTTATTGTTAGGATTAAATTAAGCGGATTCAATAAATAAATATCTTTGATTGTGGTAAATCTTCCATGACCTCTAATCCACTTTTGATTAAACACTGAAGTGATTCACCATCAGCCTTCTATAATATTTTCTGTTACTCAGCAAACGAAATTCCATTCGCAATGCAAAATTTTAGGCAAATTTTTTGGTCGATTATTTATATTTTAGAAGCATCGCTACGCACACTTGAGATCGACCGACAAGAATGAAAAAGGGGAATTTTGACAATGTCTTAAAGTGGGCTTATTAGATGACTAATTCTCTGATATATTTTTCTTTATAATTGAGAATATGATTAGATTAGAAAAAACTATTCTCTACACACTTTGAGCTTGGTAATCGCCTGCCTTTCTTATTTCATTTATTTCATTCATATACATTTTATTTACTCTACTTTTGACATTTATTATAGTTCTGAACGCATTTCCCCATATTAAATGCTTTATCCCTTCCCATGACTTTTTTCTTCTCATTTTTCGAGTACCCTTAACTCCAAGCTTTAGTCTCTTCGAAGCTAGTTTTTTTAAACTGTTATTTTCATTATACTCAGTTTGGTTTGCTATTTCATAATAAAAAAGCTCCAGAACAGGGTTGTCAAAACGTAAAAATTGATTACCGGTATAATGGTTTTCTCACACTTCTTTAAGCAATTTGGACCGTACGTCAGCAATAACACGTCGAAAATTCTCTTTCAAGACGTCAATCTTCTCAAGATTAATTTTCCACAAGTTTTGGATGTTGGTGACACCGAGATACGAGCCTGAACCTTTTAAATATTAGTACGCAATGCTAGCCACTCGGCTACTGCGGACGCCGCTAACCCCTCGACTTTACGTAACCCCACAAAATATAGCCCAGCAGTGATACTGGGCCCACGCCACAAGTTTACGGTGCAAGATAATTCCCTTACCAAATGCTTCATTAGGTTTACTACATGCCGTACTCTCTTGTTGGAACCAAAAGTCGTCCACATCGACATCCTCTAATCCAGGCACGAAAGAGTTATTAATCATGGCTCTCTAGCATTCCCCGTTGACTGCTTCATTATGGCCAGCTTAATTTTTTAAGAAAGTGCACCAATGATTCCCTCTGCTCAGAGCACACTAAACAGCGACTTTTTGTAGATTTAGCAGAGTCTTAACATTGTTTTGTGTACTATCAATAATCCATACGTGATAGTTTTCTTTATTATTTATTTATTGAACCAAAAACGATGATCTTCAGTGCCGAACAAAGTTTTTATTTTGAAAATTCTGAACGGTGGCCAATCTATTTCGGATCCAATCCACGAACGTGCGATACGCTTAAGGTTCGTTCCTCTCCATTACCAGCACGAATTTAATTCTGTAAGCCCGCAAACTAAGATCCTTCCGCAAAATCTTTAAAAGAGTGGATTGGTGCAGCTTCAATTAAGTCAGGTGGAATCATTCGGGACTTCTCCGATAGTCTACTCCACAGCTTGTTTTGCACTGCATCGCGCCTCTGAGAATGCACATTTTCTGCTGCGTGGTGCAAAACCAATCCATGTTTGCACTAACTACTGAATAAACCAAAACTGTGAAATTCAGTTCAAAGTCTCACAACGCCAGCTTTGTTTTTTATTACATGAATTAATTTTTAATCGTTTTATAATTTTTCTACTTTGTATCCTTCTAGTGACACCCAATCATGGACCAAAAATCAGTGGCGGCCAACCGCGCTATCAAATAGGCGATATTGTGCGCTTGAACTGTACCTCTGCACCATCCAAACCAGTCTGTCACCTCAGCTGGTTGATCAATGGCGAACCGGCAAATCGATCATATCTGAAGCCATATGAGAAGTACGTGGTCGGTCGTGAGGGGCTAGAAATTGCACGTTTAGGCTTGGAATTTCGGGTGAAGAGTAATCATTTTCGACATGGCGATATGAAACTAAAGGTGTGCATACATTTTTATAAGCGAATAATTTACACATAAAGTTAACTCCAAACTTGCTTTTATAATTTTTATTGATATTTTCGCAGTGCGTGGCCAAAATTTCCTCTTTATATTGGCAAAGTAATGAGGCGAGTGTGGAGAGCGATCGACAACAGCGTGCACCAGCGTTGGAATCACGCGAAACAGTGGCAGCCAAATCCCGTGCACATGGTAACACTGATTTTATGGTTTCGAATTGAATGCGATTCATAAGTTTTTCTATTCAATCCAATGCAAATATTTTACTAATTCTCTACTTTTTTGCAGGTTCCTCTTCGGCAAAGCCGCACTCGCATACAACATTGCAACAATTACACTTGGCAACTCTATTGAGCTTATTAACGGCATTTGGCAGGCCAAACTTTAGTATAACTCTAAGATAACTAATTTAAATACTTTACTAATGGTGAAAACGAAAGTCAAATTGAAAATTAAAAAACGTTGTCACAAACAACGGTAAAAGATGAATTAAAAGGACACATATCCTATGCCAAATTTAAAATCCTGCATTTAGTTTTTAGACTTAGATTTACGTATAAAATAAGCAAAATAAAATAAATCTTATTTGTAAATATGAAAATTTACATATAATAATTTAGCTGTTAATTTATGAATAGAGAATGATTTAAATAATTTAGCAAAGAAATAATTATAGCATTTGTTAAAGATTTGTAGTTTTACGATATTTGTATACAAATGTATTGCATACATTCTTTCTCTTAAAAAACGGTGAGAATTAAATTTTGGTATATCATACCTTCATAACTGGTACTCAAGTGGGTCAAAGGGCACAGACATTTTAATTAATAAGTAGAAGCAGTACTAGGAAACATAGTAAATAAAGTAACTCATACCATACTACAGTTTAAGTCCAATTAGTAGTCATAAACCTCGAAAATGTCAACAGATAAGGATTAAATATAAAAAGAAAAATCTTCAATTAAGTTAATAATTTGCTGGAAAAACGGATCTATTATAAATCCTGAAGAAAACTAAATGTGTGAATACTCAGCAAAATTGTAAAAACAGAAATTTTTTGTTTTTTCAAAGTTTTTATTTGAATAATTCACTGAAAATATCACTGCCAAACGAATTTTACCAAATACTTTCTACAAAAGTATTCAAGAAAGGCAGCTACTGTTGCTTTGTTTCGGTGTGAAACTGTTTTAAAAGCAGCTGCAAGCATAAACTCGCAGGATTTCATCGTTATACTGTAATATTTAAGAGGAATTGTAAAAGTATAAAATATTTTTAAAAATATCAACTATGGTTTGACCATTAGACAAATACTGTTTTCGTTATTATAAAATTAGCCGTATCATTTATTGCTTTTTCTTTTTTTTTTTTACAAATTTTTGCTACCACGAGCCAGCCGGCAAGCATCTACATATTAGTTTAGGGAAATGGCCATATATGCTCCACATAACATACGAATCGAATTTAAATTTTTTTCTTCCAAGTCACTTCTTAATACAAAAAGTGTTCTAAGTTTTAACTAAGAACACAGGCAAGTTTCGAGCAAATGAAAGCAAAATCCCAATTTCTTGAACATTCTGGTCCACTTCATGGAGAGAAAAGCTATTTTCATTTGATTCTAAAAAAGGAAAATCTCATGCAATTTCTCGATCCTTAAATACGAGATTTTTAAAAAGAACAATCTCAGCTCCACCTTCAGAAAATTGTTCACAGTTGTTATTAGGATAAAATTTTATATAAAACGAAAGAATTAAAACTACATAAACTCGATTTGTGTTGGATTATCTTTCGCCATCTTTCCGGCAACATATTCATTTCACTCATAGGAAGGTCATAATTATCTGCATAAAACTGAATCAAGTACGATTTTATAACCTAAACATTTCCTAAAGTTTTACCATTTAATAAGTTCTGCAAAAAAACAAATGGTAGTCTGACGGTGGAAGGACAGGTCTGAATGGTGGTCTAGCATTCTCCTGGTGGAATATGACACTTATTCTGCTGGCTTCTCGTTGATGGAGGTATTCAATTTGTCCAGTTGTTCATATTATATACTCGAATGAATAGTTTGGTATCTTGGCAGCAGTTCAAAGTAGCTTCCTTTTGGGGAATAACGACTTTTTAGTGTGTGATTAAAAACGGTTTATTTTGGTAAATTTCACTTTTCTCTAATCTTACAATCAGTTTCATGTCGATCCGATTTGATTAAAGCCTTGCAATCGTCATCCTCAACTTCACTTGGCCAATCTGAACGTGGCTTAATTTTGAGTGCAAAATCTCCCGAACGGAATTTGGCAAACCAACCTCAAGCAACCAGTCTTTTAAGGTTTTATCACTTTACAAAACTTTAAGGAAATAATTAAGTAAAGTATGGCGAAAATATTCTTTTGTTGGATTCATATTAAAATTGACCCCAAACAAATATAAACAGAATTTAGCGTATTTTTTTTTTTCTAAAGAAAGCTAAAGGTGACAGCTAATAGCTGCAAAAAGAAAAAAAAACAATTAAATAGTCAGAAGCTGTTCAAAAAATTGTCAAAGTTGTCTGTAGGAAAAATCGCCGGTTTATTTTAGGGCAACCTAATAAATAGATACAGATCATTCAACAAAGTAATCAACACTCAAACTCACATAACCTTGCTCATTATTATCGTTTGACTAAGAGAGTATTGCTTTATATAATTAAAAGAGTCTTTACACTCAAGTCGAAAAACGATTGTATAACCACTAAGAGTCTAAGCCGGAGATCATGTCTGCAGACTAGTGTAATCCAAAAGTATTGAGTAACAATAATAAATAATAATAATGACAATAAACAAAATTAAAGAAAAAATTTGAGATACACAAGGCTCGCTTAAAAATTCACGTCAATACCGATGACACTAAAAAAATTATAGACTAGGAATTTATTAGACAGAGTATCAGTCTCTCAAAATGAACAACAAATAATTTGTTTTGACTTTTATTTGAGCTCAGCACTTCCATTGCTTAAACCTAAGAATTGTGATACAAATTCAAACTTTCTAAAGAAATGGTTGTATGTGAAGCTCAAATTGAAAGTTATATAATATTGTCATCCCATGTACTACTAGTTCCGACAGTCCCTCGTATATTTTGTAATTATATCAGCAATTCCATCAGCAAAAAATCTAAATTAGAATAATTATGTTAACAATTAATTTCTCCTGTAGTTAGATGTCACATTAAAGGTTTCCTTTATTGAAAGTATTGTGACTTCACCCTTTGTTTCTTATAATTACCTTGATCTTGTTACTAAGATAAGTCACTAAAGCTTATTGAGAATCCTGTACCATATAATTCGACATGTTTAATAAAACTCGAAATAGCGTAGAATAGCTGGTGTTCAAACAGAATAGAGCAGCTGCGAGAAAAATTTTAGAACAGAGTTAAAGCGATTCGGAGCAACAATCTCAAGGGATATTTTTCGTGTAACAATTTTAAATGCGAGCTTAATGCATTTCTGTTGTAAGCACAATTTAAAATATGTAACATCTTTTTTCATTCTTGGCGAGTAGCTCAGTAAATCAACATATTATAACAAATTTTATATAAAAAACTAAGATCATTAATGCCTTAACATTTTAACAGTTGAAATATTAAAGACAATGCCAAAAGCAGAAGTCATTTCTTATTATTGTGTTACGAGTCAACTAAAGAGTATTTAATGTAGTTTTTAGTAAGGTTCTTTTAATAATATGGTTATGATGAAATAAAGTCCTTCGGATGAAAAACAGAATCCAACAAATCAAAATCAGTGCAAGTGCACTCGATACGACGATTTTTCCTTGTTTATCGTTGTAGCATGAAGCTCCTAATATTTTAAGGCAATACTGAATGCGGAAAAATATTAATAAGCTATAGCAAAACAACTCAGCTTTTATAACATTTGCCCGAGATTCCATTTGTATTTATTATGTATGCATACTGTATATCTCTGATATTCCTGAATGTTTTATAAATTTTGATACGTCTTTCGATAGTCTTATAAAAACACGAATTAAATATGGACTTACAGGCCTATTCTGTCGAGGTAACAAAATTTACCTAGGTATTAAAATTTGCCATTCAGTAATTTTTGTTACCATTTCGTATTCTGAACTCACTGTTACCCTGTAAATTTTGTTACCAGCGAAATAAGAGGTAACAAAAGTATCTGCTGTTTGATTCTGTGTTGTAATTTTGAGAAAAAATAAAAAACCAAAAAAAAATAGTCCTTTAATTTGTAAGATAACGTTTTCGTACAGCTTTTTTTGTTGTCCAGTCATATTTTCCATAATTAGGTTCAAATATTTATGATTTAACTAACAAATTAATAAAACTTTTTCATTTTTTTGTGCACTGTCTTCCATTTCGATGTAAATATTTTTCTTTTTACTTTATCAACTGGCAAATGTAATTTAACATGGACGAAAAAACAAAAATCAAACATTGTAACCATTTCGCCAGAATACCAAATTCAATTTCGGGTGTTAAGGAAAAGTATCAAAATTTACTTTACCGGTAACAGTTAGTAGAGCACTTTCTGCATTCCACTCATGACTTGTCTCTAGATCGAATATATAAGGTCAAATAAAAGATCATCCATTATTTTTGTTATAGATGAATTTAGTGATCGAAATCTCGCGTTCTATAAAAGAAAAAGTAAGATTTATAATCTTAAAAGATCAATTTCCATCTTCGAATAGATGTTGAATACTGGATAGCGATAAGAAGTGTCAAAGGAAAATAGTCGTTGCTGAAAGGTTTTTAACCGACACAAACGATATCCAGGACAGCATTGACGGCCAGGAAGGTTTTGTTGCGTGATTGGACCTGTAGAATCAGAAAATGCACCTTCTGAAGGAAGCAAACGCTCAGAAGTGAACAACTTTGGCTAATAGGAGGGAAGTTACGTTACATCAGACCAGACCACACTTATAGTAACTCGTCAGTAGCATACATCTTATAATCCGGACATCGCACAAAGTAATTACCATTTGTTACTGTCTATGGCGCATGATTTGGCTGAAGAAAAATTGGCTTCCCAATGTGTCAAGGGTTTCTAAATGGGAGGATGTCATTACCTGGCAAATTGGCAAAAGATTGTCGAACGAAATAGCGATATTTTTACATAAAACGAATTACGGTATATAAACCCTTTTGTTATAGATCAAAAAAGAAGTCTTATATTTTTAAGCAATCTGTGGATTTATTATATATATCAGCCAAACAAACATCAATATTCGATACCAACCAAACAGAGGTTTCCTTTCATGTTCCGTATGTTAAAACTTATGTCCGCATGGAAAAATCCAGTAATTTCCGAAATTCACCAAATATTACCAACCGATTGGCTTGAAATTTAGTCAGATCGTTTCTAGATACCTGGGAAGGGTTTTCGAAAAAAAATTCTGAGAAATGAACCAGGAACTGACCTATTCGAAAAAAGTTTACTTATGGTTTGATTTACTTGAAATTCGGCACATAGAAAGCTTTTTAGGTCAGTTTACAGAAGAGTACACTCCTCTTTGGAAAGTGAACCAGGGACCTATTAAAAAAAATTTATTTGTTGAACGAATTACTTGAAAACCAAAAATACT